ATGTGGTGCTGGGGGATTGAACCGCGGTCCCTGATGCTTTTGCTAAGCTTGTTCTAAGTAGGTGCTTTAGACCACTGAGCCATCTCTCCAGCCCTAGAATGTAATTTCTTTATTGAAATGCATTAAAAAATTCAAACTGCATAATAGATACTGGTTTGTAATTCTATACTTAACGGCAAAACAAGTTTTTACATGATTTTTTTTGTGTTAAGTGTATATGGTGCTGGGACACTCGACTCAGGACCTCAGACACACTAGGCAATGGCTATCACTGACACACACCCCTAGCCCTCAATTGGAAAGTGCTTTAGTATTTATTTTCATACTGAAGCTGAATATTAACAGTTTAAAATAGATATGCTTATCCATATATTAATATATATTTACTATATTTATACATAAGTATATTATATATTTGTGTGTAGATGCATGTGTAATACATCATGAACTTGGAGGCTCTGCCATTTACTACATATACTATCTCTGGAAAATAATTTAACAAATTGGTGTATCAAGTTTCCTCACAAATAAAATGAGATTTAATGGGATTACTCTGAGGATTAAACAACTAAAGACAAGCAATATATTTAGCTCATAGACAGTGCATGGCACATAGGAAAGTATTCAATAAAAATATGCTATTTACACATATGTATCTATACTTAATATTATTTTGCAGTAATTTATTAATAATACTTAATGGGCATTTCTGTATGTCTATATCATAATCATGTAAAATTACATCTAAAATTGCAAATTCTGGCCAATTTTTTTTTTTGCAGAACCAGGGATTCAACTCAGGCCCTTGCACTTGCCAGGCAAGCACTTAGTCTACTGAGCTATCTCCCAGGCCCAAAAGTTTCCTTAAAAATAAGGAAATTTGAAAAGAGCCCAAGCTATTAATAATTATTAAAAAATAGTAATTTGGAATTACTGAAATCACTTTTTGTCAAAATAAACATATTGACTACTCTTTAGCATTAAGAATCTTACACTTTAGATAACTTTTTTAGAAGGGACTTGTTAATATGGATCTATTTTTACAAAATATTGTTGTTTGCTGGATACAGTGGTGTACACCAAGTCCTAAACACTGAGGGTGGGATAAGGCAAGGAGAATTCCAAGTTTGAGTCTAACTTGAACAACTTAGCAAGACCTCATCTCAAAATAAAAATAACAAGGGTGAAGATGTGACTTAGTGGCAGAACACCTGTGGGTTTGATTCCCAGTACTGCAAAATATTTTTTACTGCATCACTACACTCTTAAGAATTTATCTGAGGGCCGGGGAGATAGCTCAGAAGATTAAGTGCTTGCCTGGCAAGCACAAGGTCACGAGTTCAATCCCTGGTACTGGGAGAAAAAAAAAAAGAATTTATCTGAAGTATATATTGATAATGATATTCACTTGGGAGAACTAAAATGTTCATTCATAAGGAACTGGTTAAATACATGAATAATCCTTATATCCTAATGTATCCTAGAATCATTAAAAATATTAACAAGGTAGAGCTACATATGCTAATATTAAAAGATTACCAAAATATAAAGTGAGAAAAGCAACTGAGGAACAATACGTATATTATAATCTCATTTACATCTAAAAAAATCCACTGAGTAACAAATTTAGCTGTTTGTATATAAAGTAAGTTGTCAATCAATGGTGCTTCATTCTCGGGAGTGAAATAAGGATGGATTTCTATCTTTCAACTCTTCAGTATTATCAGCAAGTTTTTCTTTTTTTTTTTTTTAAATATTATTTATTTATTTATTTTTAGAGTGTGTGTGTGTGTGTGTGTGTGTGTGTGTGTGTCCAGCTCAGCCCACCAGGGGGCGGGCTGGCTGGCATGTGGTGCTGGGGATTGAACCACGGTCGCTGTCCTTTTTGCTTAGCTTAGCTTGTTCTAAGTAGGTGCTTTAGACCACTGAGCCATCTCACCAGCTCTATCAGCAAGTTTTTCTTTTGCTTTTTCTTTCAGTTCTGTGGAATGAATCTAGATTCTTGTGCCATTAAGCACAGATCATGTGCTCCAGCAATGATCTGATACATTATTTGAAGTTTTGTTTTGTTTTGTTTTGTTTGTGAGACAGATCTCACTATGTCATCCAGGTCAGCCTAAAACTTGTAATCATTCTGGCTCAGTCTCTTAAGTATCTAAAATTACAGACATACGCCATTGTGTCCAGCTATTTGAAAGTTTTAAAAACTGTGGGTAAAACAGACACAGCATAAAATTTATCATTTTACGTCTATAGATCAGAAGTAATGAGTACACTCAAGTTGTAGAACCATTACCACCATTCATGTCGAGAAATTATTTTATTATCTGAAATTTTTATTATGAGCAGGTAGTCTAAAAACTTTAAAGCCAGATGTGGTGGCACACACCTATAATCCCAGCACTTGGGAGGCTGAGGCAGGAGAGTTGCTGCAAGTTTGAGGCCAGCCTGGCTACAAAGTGAGTTTAAGGCCAAGAAGAACTGCATAGTGAAAACCTGTATCAAAAAACACAAAAATAAATAAACAAAATCATCTTGGGTTGGCTGGGTGATATAGCTCAATGGCACAGTACTTGCTTGATGAGCACAAGGTTGAGTTCAGTTCCTGATACCTAAATAAATAAATCATTTTGGCTTTATTAATTTCCCATTTATAAAACTAAAATTGTTTTGAGATTTTTTTAACATAGGATGAACTGGAAAAGGCTACTTAAAGTTTGCCCCTTTCATTGAGACTACCTGGAAA